CGGTGAAATTTACATGAAAAAAAGTCTAAAAAGGTCGCAATTGGTGGAATCTACATGAGCCTGTCCCACCGGGTTCTTTCTCCGACCCCTCATTATAGAATGTATTCTATGACAATATCCTTGGGATGGACATATCGAGAGAAGTACAGTTCGTCGAGTTCACCGATGATCTAACCTTACTTTCTATAGAACAAATTTCAGAAGCTCTATTAGAAGCAGTCAACTCCATACTGGCGTCATTGATACCCGGATGGGTGATTATTGACTTCAGTTAGCGTAACACAAAATGGAGGCCATCATACTGACTAAAAAATGAGCATATTAGAACCCGGTTCTTTCTGTAGACGGCTACACAAATCTATTGCTAAGAAAACTGCGATATCTAGGACTAAATTTAGACTCACACTCCACATTAAGTGGATATCTTAGAACAGTCTTAGGTAAGGCGTCTCAGGCAATATATATATCTTTATATATATAAGGTTATTATGTACTATTTTTTATATATTGTGCATTGAATTGTGTATTACTATAAGCGATGGCAGCGGAGCAATAGTATTGTTCACACAGATCCTTCTTTGTAGTCGATTAACCAAGGAAAGAAAATAAGATGGAGATTCGTACCTTAAATTTCATTACACGTTTGCACTATACAATAATATACATAGACACTAGTAAACGCAATAAAAAAAAAAGAAAAAGTAGCGAAAACAGTCAAACCTAGTTTGACAGAAGAAGCAGATACAGAGAAATTGGTCGATACGAACATTTCATAAAACTATACCGACGGAATAAATTTGGTTATACAGTGGTTGTGAGTACCATTAACGACGCTTACCATGATCGAACTATGTGCGATTAGAATCTCGTCAGATTTTACAAATAAAGGTTGAAGTACTTGTTGTGAAATTATTTAAACCAAATTTTCCAAAGATTCATGCATGGGGCATACAGATTGTAAATTTAGGTACTAGTAAAATATAATATTATTCAATACAGATTCTCCAAAAATAGTTTAAATTTATTTTTATTGGAATTTATAAAAATATGTAGCTACTTGTAAACTAGCTCGTACTTGCGACTATTAAAAATCATTAGAAAAATCGAAATTAGTTACGCGAAAACAACTTTTGACAATTTTTTTTTTTTTTTGGTTAAAGGTAATTTGAAAATAAATAACTGTAGAGACTTGAATTGTTTACTAAATATTTTTTATTAACATTTTCTAGGCATTATTTAAGTTTAAAAATATATTAGCTATTTTTGTGCAATTTATAAGAGTTTTAATTTTTTTAGTTTATTTTTTAGTACCTACCAATTAAATTTTTAGACTTGGTAAAAATGTTTGAAATTTTAAAAAAAAGGGTCCTCTTAAACTGTTAGAAGACACGTAAAAACGCAGTGCACATTCTATTAATATTAAGCTACGGCTGATTTAAATTTAATTTTTAAATTGCTGAAAACTACATTTACCTTTGTGTTATATTACATGCAATTTTTTCTATAAATAAAATAACCCCAATTCATTGTTTTGTGTTTAAATAACAGTAGATTAAACTTGCCAGTTCTGATAAAGTGAGCTTTATGGGCGCACTCCTACTATAATAATTATTTATAACACATATATGTTTATTTTAATTTTATACCAAAGATTTATACCTTATTTTTTGATTTATAACAAGTTTTAACTAAGTAATGAATCCACCATTTATTAATAATAAATGATCATAGTAATCTAATTAGATATCCATAACAAAATTCTCACTTACAGTTAAATTTGAAACTTTTAACAGTAAAAATTGGAAAAGTGAGCGCTACGCTCATGCACATCTAATCGTGTTACAACAAATATATACGCATTTACTGATGGATTAAGTTGTTCTTATCGGAATAATATTAATAATTTTGTTTTACGAATATAGGTACTTTAAATTCAAAATCTTTCAACTTGTCAAAATCACGAAAATGTGTAAAATATTATAAAGTTACAAAATAAAATGATGTTTAATTTTAATATATTTAACCTGAAAATGTATTTTTTTTCTAACCCGAAAATAATAATGAAAAAAAAAGTTCAGTACAAAAAAAGATTCATTTTTTACTAATGATTGAAATTCTAATAATGACACTATTGAATTGTAAAATAATTTTTTCTACTTTGTTTAAAATAAAATTTTGATGTAATTTCAAAAATAATAATAATTGTAAAAACTTGAAGAACTCCACTAATACTAAAATTTTCATTTTCTATAAACAAATTTATCTTAAATACTTTTAAAAATATTAAGATTGATTTTAATCAATTTATATGCTTTTGTATTTTTTTAGTTTTATTTTTACAAATCTCGATAAAAATGCCCATGCTTGGCCAAAAAGCTTAAAAGACGTGTTGAGATTTGAATGAAAATTCTTCAATAATCATTCCAAAAACGACTTAAAAAAATGAAAATTACAGGCATAATACTTTTTATCTATACTTAAAATTAAAAGTTTTCAGAATATGTAGACATGTATAGTATAGACTTATAGATATCCTATTCTATATATAACACGAATACTAAATGTGCAGCGTTATTTTATTACTATGGTTGACAATAGCATATTTGGGACAAGTACAAATTCGATTGATCAAAAGACAAAAGCATCCAGAGTATAATATTATCCTTCGATAACGGTACATGTACGTATATCACCCTAATATATTTTAACTTGATAATGTTTTCAATCGAAATATGGGCATTGCTATTTGTTTTCTATACATTTATAGTAATTATTCAACATTTGTATTTTATAACAAATAAATATTATGTCACAATATTATTTTAAAACTATACAATTATTAAAAAAAAAAATAAATAAATAACAACTAACGAATGTATGTAATTAAATATACTATTTAAAAATTAAGTAAAATTGTATAATAAATTATAATTTTTCAATATTATTAATTTTGCACAACTACTTGGTTATTTTTCAATATCGTTGTTTACGACTAAAGTTATTTATGTTCGTCAATATATATCAATATATGGGTCTACCAACCTATAGATTATGTAGAACGTGCATAAATACTTTACGCATCTTATTACAGGGTTATTATAGTCTTATGTACAGGTACATAGTCGTCTAAGCGTATAATTATTTTTAATATAATCAAAATTAAAAGAGCAAAACGTAGTCTTACAAACGCAAATATAAAAATATTTTAAAAAAACTTTAACAAACCCATAACTACATAACATAAATTATACAATAATATCAAAACTTATTATGAAAATAAAAATTGTTTTAATTTATTTTGAAATTATTTCACAGAAAATACGAATATAGTCTAATAGTAGGTATGCATGTAAATAGTCAGATTATCAATATTCTGCCGAATCAATTTTAAAATACTTCTCGGGAATGTTAAAATAATTAATTAAGCAATATGGTCTAATCTTATAATTAGAAAGTATAATTATTCATCTGATGAATTCTATCACGCATACTTTCGCGTATCTTACACAAAATAATTAATTTAGTATTTTTTTTGTACTTTTCTATAAATATTTTAGAAATATTCTTCACTTACTTATATAATAAAGATATTTTTATGTGACAATTGGTCAATAATACTAAATTAAAAAATTAAAATAGTGAGTTATATATTTTATTTTTTTTACACCTTTTCTGTGCATACTTTATACTCGAATGTATCACGTTTGAAAATGTACATTCCTGTAACTACATCACTCGTTAACCGTATTAAACCATCTATAAACACATTGTTAAAAAATTAAATTCAGTTAAACTATATATAAAGTCTATCCAAATGAATACCTATAACCTATGTACTTTTTTATAAAAAAAAACTATGATCAAATATTAAAATCAGTAAAAATAGAAAATTCCTTCTGTACTGGAGATAATTTGATTGATACAATTAATATATTATATACACTCATATTAATAAAATTAAAAAAATTAACGAAACGTAGTAAAAATATTAAATAGACGCCTATTATACAATAATTTCAATAAAATTAAATATTAACTACAATAACGACAAGTAATAATGTACTAAATTATTCGTTATTTTACAATAAGCATAGCTCAAAATAGGTATATCGCTAATAGTACCTAGAAGTTAAATTTAACACAGCCGTTTGCATATATCATGGATCACAATACACTAAATATGATAGCGTAAAGACAATAATGTTGAAACGTATTTATATTCAAACGTAACGTATTAAAAAAACATATTTAAATAACAACTATATTATGAAAATAAAAAATGCCTAAACCACTGGTCAATAAGTATCGAATTTTTCCATCCAATGGTTGACATTATTCTTCTATTATAAAATTATTAATACTATTATGTTTAACGTGTTTATATCATTATTCACGAAAGAATATAATTATGTCGTGGTTGTAGGTGACGTTTTGTATTATAATAATATTATGTATGTATAGGTAACGGTGAAATTTACTCACAGCGGTTCACGATAAGCGTTTCTGAGAATCCATAAATCCGCAGAAGTTTATCGTTTACAAAAACGCCGGTGAAAATAAAAAAGTGGGGAAAACTAGAATACACAGCCATGTATTGCTTTTGCCTTTGATTTATCGCCGCTAGTAGATACTAGATCGTAGCACATCATAACGTAAAAGACTAATCAAGACACGTTGTATTTGAATAATGGCGGGGAAAATCGCGCACATGACTTAACCGTCGCGGATTCTGGGAAATGATTCAAAACAAAACGTCGGATACCCAAGTGCTCGGAATAATCATTTGCCGGAACTGTTTGTATTTGTCAACAGCGCTTACGTTTATTTATGTTTTTTTTTTCTTAAACCAGCCACCTCTATATAGGTATCGTGCGTCAAACACGCCGCTTATAATAATATTAAATTATCCGCAAGACAAGAGAACTAACGATAATTTTATCATATGACATATGAATAATGTCTATACGATATAATATCATATAAGAAGGTTATTTACTCACGTGTGTGACGAATTGGCCGAACTGCTAGCAAGTAATCGTAATAGATCGACACCCGTAGACGATTCTGGCTGCCGCAGCAGCCACTGTCCCGGCGCGACGGAGATGGACGACGACCAGAGTTCCACTCGTCACTGTCGGATGAGTCGTACCGTATATGACAGTGAAGCTGATCGAGGCCAATTAATTAATTAATTTTATTTTTTTTTTTTTGAATAGAAGGAATCGCTAAACGATGGTGAGTGCTAGGGGACTGAGAAGGGGAGAGGCACTCGCGAATTGATCACGCTCGAGTTTCACGGTCGGGGCACAGAGACGCAAAAGAGTTGTTCGACAGGGTTGAAAATGGAAATGAGAGAAAATAAATCGACGAGGTGAACCGGAACGAATCGGGTTCGTGCGAGACAATCGGACGGGGTCTCCGGGGATTCAGAAGGACGCCGTGCGAGTACGGTGATCACGCCGAAGACGCGGACAGACACGGACGGGCGGACGGACGACCGAACGAACGGGCGACGTGGAAGCGGACAGACGACTACTACGGACTGCTGGCGTGACGGGCGGTGGACGTGACGCGGCGCGCGCGGTCGTCGTCGCGTTCGTACTTTTACCCCTCCGCCACCGGCCCGGCGTAAGTCGTCCATGCGATGGCGGCCGACGGTTCGGCGATGTCGGCCGACCGCGCGACGGATGCGCGCGGTATGAGCCGGTCGGCCTGGCGGCGGCGGGGGTGTACACGCGCGTGGACTTTCCACTATGAAAACAACGGCGGCGGCGGCGGCGTGCGTATAATATACCGTCGTTAGAGCGACGGCGCGAGCGGCGACCCTTACGACGGGCTTTACTACGGCGGTTTACGTACGATCACCGCCACACCGCCGACCCGTCCCGCTCACGCGACCACGCGTGCACGCAACGTCCACCACTGCCGTCCACCAGCCCGCCCGCCGACGGTTTCTCACGAACTTTTACACACACTCACACCGTTCGACGCTACGCGACGCGGTCGAGGACAACATGACGTCGTCGCTACATCCACCAAACCGTATAATGTAATACAATAATATGATTTCGCGGTACTCACACGCGTTTAACAAAACCAACACGGTATATATCGATGTCACACGTTGATGATGATGATGATGATAATGATGACGACGTTAAATGTTGTCGTTACACAGTTTTTGTTGTTGTTACCGTCTTAATAACACACTAAATTACACGGAACACGTCGATTGAGTATGGTTCGCGGGTGATAAATATTACATATAGAAACACTTGAATTTGTCGAACTGTTATTCAATAATAGTGCGGTATTTCCAAAAAAAATAATATTGTCGTCATGATGTCGATGAAACGCGGAAAATCATCTTTTTTACTGGTTACGATTTAGCTAACGAATACCGCGTACCTACACATTATTATCTCCTGAAGTTTTGGTTTAACCAATTTAATCATTCAAAATTATTGATTTTTTCTAATTGTCGTACGATTGGTCTCGTTATACGTATTTTATTTACATGCAGATTGTAGATTCATTGAGCAATATTAGGATATTCGGACATTATAGATATATTTAATTTTAATTATAAGATTTTAAAACTTCACCAGAATTTATTTTAATTATAAGAATAATATGAGGAAGTATAAAAGAAATTATATTAATTATTGCATATTTTATATCACTATAGACCCGTAATAAGCGTGCTCAAGTTTTTATGGTAGAGTAAGCTATGACGTAGGAAAAAATTGAAGGATATACCGTGTGATTATAATCCCTAAAATCTGTCCATAACTCCCTAAATTCAATGTCGTCAATCAATATAACAAATTTAAATTATATTATTACATTGTATCTTATTTGTTTGCTTAAATACGTATATTAATTTGAGGTTCAAAAGTTGTATTTTTAAAATGTTACGTATCATAAAATCAACAATCATTGCATAAAACAAAAATATGTCCATCATAAATATTCTAACACTTCAGATCTTAAAAAAATTAATAACAATACATATTTTTTAGGTAAACTTTTAAAACAACAAAATTACAGGCTTATCTTTGTTATATATACGGTTAATAACTGGCCAATCATTATTGAGCCTTAGTGTTATAGAATTTTGTATTAACAAAAAGCTTTTACAAAAATCATACTTTCTTAAACAATAATATTTTAATGCAATTAATACATTCAAATGCATAAGAAATTATAGATTATCTATCAAAATCTAAAAGTACTTTAAAGTGATTGTAAGCTTATAAAAAAAAAATATTTATATTCAAGCTTAAATATGATAAAAAAAAAAAATGTATGGTAAAAAAAAGGCAGCTGCAAGCTCTTCTGCCTTCACCATGCACATGCTATACTGCTATAGCTGCAGTACTTCGAAGCAAACTAAGTATTGTTGTGAATATAACTATATAGTAGTTGCGTTGTATAAATATACATTTTTTATTATGTGCTTTGTACGATTTAGATCCTATTCTACCTTCCGTTACCATTCGTAACCTTATCGACCTCTACATAAAGATTGTAAACAGTACAGAACTGATAAAACGTAAAAATGGGATTAATAAATTGCATTTTATTTAAAATTTACCTAGGGCAAGGTTTTCCAAACTTTTTTTAACTCTCAGCACTCTAACTTAAAATATTTTCTAAAATTCCATAACTACTCTATAGTAGTATATCATATATTTAAATTTATATCTAATAATTTAGATTTTCTAAGATATAATAATTTTAACATTTATAATTGATTATATATTACTAAATAGATAAATTAAAGGAACAAATTATTAATACCAATGAAATGCTTGAGCTTTTTTTTCCACAAGTCCTAGGCCCTAGGGTCTCGAAAAATATAGCGAGCGACGGCACTGAACATTGCCGGAACTTCATTTAAAATATAAAGTAGGTGCATCAAAACTCGGTCCGCCAAAGTTTAAACACCAATATTAAATAATATTAACCGATGCATTATATATTAATTATGTACCACTTTAAGTATTGGTCTATAACGTTATCAAAAAAATAAATCATTCCCAAAATATTATTATGTCGAACAATATTATACAACGTAGTGTAAACCGTAAGTAGAATCAAGAGGACGGAAAACGTTTAGTCGACAGTTTTACGACGACTATTTTAATACCGTGATGATACTGAATCATATAACATCCAGAAGAAAAGTAAATCGAAAGCGAATCTACTCTAAAAGTCAGCAATTTTCAGACTACCACTTTAACGGTCCGATTTAACCGATATTGTGTAGTATACAATTATATGTCTAAAAACAGCGAACAAAACGATATAATATTGAAAAAATCAAAATCAACCACTAAATCGTTACCTATAACGGTTATACGTCATCTTGACAAGTGTGTTATACAAATTATTTTCGGCTGTGTGTTAGGCGATTGACGTTTGCGTTGTATTTTGCACGCACCATCGTTTTTGACAGTGGCCTACAGCAGCTATCATGTTTGCACGCTGTCCGTCAGCCGACTGTTCGGCGCCGTCCCGTTCGGTACGCGCGCGCGCACGAGGCAGATCACATATTATTATATTTAATATTGTTATGGACGGCTCCGCATGGACTACTATGACATGAGTGGATCATTAATTTATCGTCAAAAGTCGTGTGTTCAAGGGTCGTTTGATCGAAAAACACGCAATCGGAGATCGATAAGAGAAATGATGTGATCAAAAAATATATCAAATACCTATTGCATGTTATGAACGTTTTTAAAAAGTAATTTTTTTCTTTATTCATTTCGCAGACAATCATTATTATTGATAATATCATCTCCATCGTCAATGGCAAAATAACACTAATTAACTATAATATTAAAATTATGACTATGATCGTTTACAAACGGAATCAATGCTCGCTGTCTTATTTAATACCCACGTACCTATAAAGTATTTCGCAATTTTTTTGTTTACTTACACAAACAGTGCAGTTATCCGACGCTGGAGTTGCACCTAATATTAACCTGTGTTGAAATTTGGTTCAATCGAATAATATTATTGTTGTATTTATTATCGACCTGGTCTGATAACCGGTTTATGTGCAAGATTGATTCCAGTAACAGACCGATCTCCGATCTCGGTTACAATATTAAAATTACTATTTATTTCAAACAATACTACCTATACTTAGAAATCGAAATATAACAATTTTAATTGGTTTAACTATTAAATAGTGTAAAGAGTTATAACTTATGATTTGTGTACAACTGTCAATTTTCATGAATTATTCATAATTCGTAGATCCTAACAAATCAGTAATTTATAGAATATACTATTTTAAGTTCTGAGTAAAATATATAGATAACTATTTCGGGCAACAAATGCAGTTAATAATATATTATGATTTGTATCATTTTACGACGAAATAATTTTATTACAAAATAAGTTGATAGAATATTCGAGGTACTTGATTTCTTATTTTCATATAATGTTTAAATTATGCTATCAAAAAAAAAATATCACATTTAACTTAATTATTAAATGAAAAATAATATTATTATTATTTTATATTTTAATAGAAATAACCTAAATAACATACATTTTTAAATTATCGATCAATAACAATTTTGTAAATAAAAATATATAATATGAATACATTTTAACCCAGTTAGCTCTTTATTTATATTATTATAATTTCAATTTGATCTAATATTTAAAAAAAAAATCTGTTCCAATTTGATCTTCAATTAATATTGGTTCAGTTCAGTGTAAATTATTTAAAATTATGTATAATGGTCCAATTTTTTCAATGTATTATTTACAACAGCAAATGTTTTTGGTTTGATTCAAACTTTTAAATTATAATTTAGTCTTATCTATATAGTTTAGTTGGTCTGGCCTAGCCCATAAAAGCATGAACCATGTTGACTTTTAAAATTTATTTAAAACTATAATATTAAACTTGTTTTCATTATGTATCTATATAATTTATCAGTTTTTAAATTATACTTGTTGGAATTTTGTATAAGCACTAAAATATTATCATAAAAATACAAAAAAAACCATTTGACTATAGATAATAATATATATATATAATCTTAATTTAAAACATTTCCATCACTTTTTTTACTTATAATAGTTCTCTCATTAATTTATAAATAATATATCAATGTCGATTATAATTATAGTATATATATAACGCCGTCAAGCAGAGGTTAAATCATAAATTATATCGTGTAGTAGGTCCCTATATGTCTGCTAATTCGGTTTAATCGTTCAAAGCGAAATCACCACCATTAACTGTTTCAAACGGTATGAGTTGATTCCCGAGACCTACTTTACGTAGGAGTTGATTCCTGGATCATTAAGAGATGTGTACGAGACTATTCCCTATTGTTGCATATCAATATAAAATTCAGGGACAATGAGACTAGGAAATCTAAGAAAAACTAAAAAAAGGAAACAATTTTTTTAAGAAAAGTGATGTCGTGGTATACTGGTAATCTATTTACCAGATACTAATTTTTAAAAACAATGTGCTATACATTTTTAC